TTTTACAAGCGGATTGTAGTAGTTTTTTCCCTGAGTACTAACAACATTAATATTAATATTTCTTAATGTAAGGAAAGATTACACCTAAATCAATTTGAGCATTAAATTTGAGCTGGTGAAGGTGAAGCAGCATTGACAGTTGACACAGGTGCTTTAACTTCTTGGTGAAATAATTCCTGTTCAACTTCAAATGACTCTCCTTCAGTTGTCACAGTTGCTACCGGGACCCTTTTAGCAGGCATTTTCCATAGTTTTTTCGGTACTGACCAGTTAAATCGAGATGGTTCTGCCCATATATATAATAATTAAACTCATCATTTTATAAATTTATAATTTTACATTTTAATTGTACATTACAATTTTATAATTTTACATTCAGTTCACAGATATCGTATAAGACCACAGTACACAAAGAAATATAAATATCACCTTTTTAATAAGGAGAAAAAAATCTCCCCCCCCCAAAACAAAAATCCCAACATAAACACTTCAATACCGAAAATCAAAGCAGGCATTTTCTTTCGGTATCCAAGCAACAAAACAACCGTACAAACATTATAAACCTTTCACCAATTTCCAGCGACCTGCCCACGTTTTTTCGCATGTCTTCTTTTTTGAAATGTTCTGAGCACAAAAAAATTGATTTTGTGATGAAGAATCCGTCCTTTCCATGCTGGCGATTCAGGAGATTGCACCATCTGATTCACTGCTGGAAGTCATTCGGAAACTAGAAGAAATGCAGACCTGTTGGATTGCCTGCTGTGTCATAATAGCTATTAGCACAACCAAAAAGCGGCACAGTGTCTTCCTCTTCCTTTCGAAGAAGAAGGAGGAATATCCTGCGTAGGGAAAGTATCGTTCATTGTCGAAATATCTCGATGAAAAGGACAGAGCACCACCACATTTCACTAAACTCTCACTAGAACTCGCAACGCGACTCAACACTAACCTCGCTATCATGTTTGCGCGATTACACATTCAATATGGCGCCAGGAACTGTAAAAAAGGCTATTGAAGATATGGGTCTCCGATCATTTCTTCTTTGCATCTCGCTGCTGCAACTGACGACTGCTCCCAAACCGACAGGTCTGTATGTCAATCTTTCTTTATTCATGCTTAAACGTTTAACGAAGGCAGCGGGGTTTACATTTTTCCCTTTGAAAGAAAGTACAGAGCGCTACAGCAGGGTTTTATCTTCAGTTTGAGCTAGCTGGTTGATGTATAGGTTATTGAAACGTGAACATTATAAACTCGTTCATATTTTTTATCATACTAGCATTTGAATACTAAGATGTAGAATTTCAACGAAATTGATTTTCCACACGAGTTTTGTAAAGTGAACTCTCAAAATTATCCCACCTTTTATACGCTTATTTCCATCAAACTATCTGAAATAAGCACCGATCGATTATCTCGATCGCTGCTAAAAGAGAGATACAATATAAAACTCTTTCCTCCGGTTTTGAATGAACATCCGGTTACGATAAAATCCGCCTCGACGGTTCTGAGGTTCGTTTCTTTTACCTTAAAAAGGAACTGCAATTTTTTTCTGATATATTCCTGCGTGTGAAATCACTGCTCAGATCCGTAATTGACTCGTTAGAATGAGTCAGAGATCAGTGAGAAAAGAACAAACAATGTTGTGCTATGTATTCAAAGAAGTCGTTGACGCTGAATGTTATTAAATAAAAATATCCCGCTCTTAGCACTTATAGACTTCGCTATAGAGGCATTTTAGTAAAAGCTTCACTTGTGGGTCATGGGTGGCCCGGTGTTTTTCTAGTAAGCTAAGATATTTAACTCTCGAACAGCTTGCGTGAGAAAAGCAAACAGATACACTTGTATTTCAGTTGGATGATGCAATCAATATGCATAGGCATGTTCTTTGCTAAGGTGATGATCTTCTTACATTAAATGTGTTTTAATAATGTTTCTACTCGTAATAACGTTACTCGTAGTTAGGTAGATGATTGAACATTTGAATGTTTGCGGTCCTTTTCGGTTGATGAATGTGGCATGTAAACAAGTTATATTGACGACGTGAAGTAATTTATTCAAAGTTTTCTTCTGTGTTCATGCATAATCCATGAATTCACCGAGAAAATATTTCCTCGAAAACACACTTAATAAACCAGGCAGATTGTTGTTATTCTTTTAATCACGACTAAAAGTCTATATGAAACTTCTCATTTTGCGCAACGCAACTTTATGATTCTTTTACGAGGTAGTAAAAAATAATGACCGAGTTGCGGTTCGGCAACTTCACTAAGTTTTTTAGTTTACGTCCCGAACTATTTTAAGGTTACAGTTTACATTTTTCAATGTAAAAAGACTGCACTTTGCTTTCTTGAGGAGAGATCCGAAAAAGGCAGCTAAACGAAAAACAAAAAAAACCTTTGACTAGGTTAAATATACACGACTGATTTTACAGGATGACAGTGCTATTATTTGTCTCAGGTTAAAATTCCATATCTCTAAACAGTAAAATACTTTTCTTTGCAATATCACATGCAGTAGTAGATAAAAAAAATAATTACTGTAAAAAGTATCTTGTCCCTTAGTACATCTGATACTTCATTGTTTATTATTTGTAGCGATGCTATGTTAAAAACAGATGAAACAGAACTGTCTTTCTGATCATAATTTTGTATTTCACTCTTAATTTTCTGCAACTCAATGACTTAATAACTTTTTATTGTATAATTTAATTTATAATTTGTAGCAATGCCATGTTAAAAACAGATGAAACAGGAACTGACTTTCTGAACCTATTTTTGTGTTTCCCTCTTAATTTTCTACAACTCAATGATTTGAACTGATAACCTTTCTTAGTGATGGTAGTGATATTTTAGATGGTGTTTGGAGGTTTTGCTGTGGGCAGTGGCTATAGCTTTTTATCGATTGAAGTGGCATGCGACTTGTAACTCTAAGCTGTGTCATGACTATTCAGCTAGTATATGGCTGATATAATAAATTGCTTTAGATTTTTGCTGCTTTATTATGTAAGCTTCCGCCAAGTAACTCTTTCTAAGTTACCTATAACATAATCTAAAGACCCTGAAGAGCTTTCGCCAAAACTCTGCTACTTGGCTAACGTTTTGCTAATTTATTTTTTCTTTGAAATAAATTTTTGGAGTAACAGAAAAATTCATTGTAAAAATCATATTTGAGCTATTATCTAGCAGTTCGCTAGGGAAGTCTAACTGGAATTAGTACGATGTTTTTAACATGCATAGATCTCACTAAAATATTTTAATGCTAAACAGTGGCACGACTGTTCTCTGATAAAACAGGTCCTAAGAAAATTCCTGTGCAAATTCAACAAAAAGTGTATCTACACATTCCATCGATTCAACTGGAAAATGGGACTGAGATTGGTTGGTTTTCCTGCCCAGCTAAGAGCTGCCATCCGCATTGGAATGAGCATTTTTTGGCTGATATAGTGTTTTTTAAAAAGGCGTCTGTTGATGATCCAAACTTTGAAGCCTATCCCAATGGAACTTTGGTCATCAAGAACTTCCGTCCCATCTATGATGAAAGAAACTTTAAGTTGAAGAATAAATTCGATAGCACCGAGTCGTACACCTTGATTCAGCCCCACCCTCATTACACAGACATCGATTTTGGTGTTTTGGCCAATAGCTACTCTGGATATACTCAACCAAAGAACGAATTTATGAAGGAATACATATTCCTTGGAATACCTCCGAACTCATTTGCGAACAAGAAAATATATCAGGGTTTCAGATCTAACGGTATCAAATTACAGTTTAAGAACTGTGACGGTAATCCCAACAGCTACTTTGCATTTTTTCCGAACCGTTATCATCAAACACCACATGGTCATGGCGGGACGTCAGTCTATGAAAATAGCGGACTCGCGGTAAACTGGCGTTCCAATGCCCAAACCTGACACGAATGGCGATCCCAAAATGCCAAATGACTTTTTCTTCTTGATAGAGCTACTGTTTGGGGGCTGTGGCTGCTACACTTCAAGCGACCGGTGGAAGCAGTTTGGCTATAACTCTACTGCCATTGGACTCCGCTGATCGAAATTTTATCATGAAGAATTAGTGTTTTGATTGCCCATGAATGACTTGTAACTCATTTCGTTTTAGCGGGGATCACGACCCACTGTCCAAAAGGCTCCTGTAATTTACCAGTAGATTAGTGAGAGGGTCTTAACTATTACCCGTAAAACTGAAGGCCAGAAATCTAGCCTCAACCCTATTTTTTC